GTTTGAAGTTTTTTGTTCTCTTTTGTGTTTCTCCTTATATATATATATATATATATATATATATATATAATCATACGCGATATGACTCACAACCTTATAATGTTGCAGTTATCAGATAATTAGATACCTAGTTATCGCGTCTCATCTTGAATTTTCCCTCACAATCACAAACGTATAATCTCATAGCTTTTTGTCTGTAACAATCAATGGAGAAATAAACTCAACTCAGTTCTCCTATTTAAATTGAGATATTTAAATTGAGATGTAATTTTTTATAAAATATTTTAATTATAATAAACAAAATATAATTTTTTATGAAAATTTTTATCTATAATAAAATTATAATTGAGATTTCAAATGATCAAATTAATGAGACCTCAGTTTTGTACGTTAGCGATGAGACATTTATTAGGTTTGCAATTGCCTGCAGAGCGAGTCACAGGAGCTTTGACTAATGTCTCGTTTGCTTCGTAAATTTAAATTTTTAATTTAAGTTAAAATATAATATTTTTTAAAAATTTTTAATTGTAACAGAAAAAATTAAATACAATATTTTTTTAAAAGTTTTCAACTATAAAAACTTAAAATTAAAAACGTAAATCGATAAAATAAACGTCAACTAAGTAATTTCTCTAAAGAGAAAAGTGGCAATCATCATCATTGGTGAAGAGTCCCCAATCTATCAGTCTATCTGAAAATTACCACACGACAGCATGAAACCAACACTTGACACTACCTTTCACCATATAATATATACTTTCATCATCACATATGCTATGCATATCAGTGATATCACATATGTGATGATAAATGGACGAGTGTGTACGACAAACTACAGGAACATGTGAATAATATTCGAACAGAAACAAGATAATGCATACGATCTATTCCTGTATTCTGGAGGATGGATGTCTTTCTCAGAGGTGGGAATGGGATGAATGCAATAAAAACGCAAATATACAGGAAAATGAACGGATATTCATTTGTAATACATTTTTTTAACAATCTTAAAGCTAAACTGGTACACCTAGTTAAACACCTTGAAGTATTAAGCAGGAACATGGAATTAACATTTTCCGTGATTCAGCTTTTCAAACGTGAAAGATGGATTTGTGGAACTGATGAATTTTCATAAAACATGGATATCAACACTAATTTAATAACTAATGAGGGATCAACATGCAGAGATCGAGCTTTACCAATCATAATTTCTAGCGGAAAAAAGATCTCTCAATCCTCTACCAATACTAATATCACTTCTACCAACTTCTAACTTTGAACAATTTTCAGCGACATAAACGATATTATTGCAACACGTACATCAAAATTGAAATGAAAATTGTTTGCATCAAACGCAATTATGAACACCATATTCCATTTCGTGGATATTGAACATGAACACTAAACTTCAGGTGAAAAACTTCAAGAGGTAATTGCATACATCCAATCAAGTAATAGCTATATAAATTCCAAGAGATAATTGCAAGCAAACAAATGCCTTAACTTTGTATAATATTTAGCCAAATTAATAAAAATTCAAGTTCCCAAACAATCTCATACAACAAAAGCAAATCTTGCTAGAATCTTGTACTTTCAGAGATGATGTCTCGTTCATTTAACTAATTTGAGTTTTTAATTTTAATTTTACTACGCTCTTACAAAAATTACTACAGTAAAGAAACTCGAAACTCGAATCCGCGAAATGCGTTAATCCAAAACCGAACTAAAATCCTTAGTTTTGTCAAAACAAAAACTGGCAAACAATGTGAGCCAAAAATCTAGGGAGACACTAAAAAAGACACGTATATAGAAAATTGGGCCCAACAGCATTTTTCACAAAAGTAAAATAGCTAATATCAGTAACATCCTTCTCACAACAGATTCTATTCTATCTATAACTTCATCTAACTTTTCTCTAACATCACCAAAGAACGAATGTAGAGCTCCTTTCTTTCTTTCTTTCTTCTTCTTTTTCCTTTCATGTCGTTTGATATCCCATTTACATAGAACAAACTCCTAAAGTTAACCCAGCGGTGGACGATTTTCCATCCAACCACCGGTGATTGAATAAAACCCCCCATCCTAAATGTACAAACCGACTAAGAAAAAGAAAAGAAAAAATAAAAATAAAAACAAAACCCTAAACCCTGAAACGACAACGTTTCAAAGAGAGCGACTTACCAAGCTTAGAATCCTCTCCATCGAGGGCTTGGTACGGGCACGGTCGGCGAGAGCGGCAGCTGAGGAAATCCTAATTGACCGGACGACGGCGAGAGCAGAAGGCTTGGGGAGAGCAAAGGGTAAGGCGACCTCGGCGAGTTCAAGCACCCGAAAGGAATCGGAGGAGACGGCGGCACATGGAACTGCGGCGGCGGCGGCGGCGGCGGCGGCATCATTGATGTGGCTGGAGGCGGAGGAAGAATCCCCTGCTGCTGCTGTGGCGGCGCAAGATTGCTCCACCGAGGCGAGACCAGAGGTGCTAGCGGCGAGAATCCCGAGGGCTGCTTCTGATTCGAATCGAGGGCGGCCGACATCGAGTTCTGGAGGTATCGCATGTAGGCCGAAACAGGGGACTCCGCCGCCGCGTGAACCGCCGGAAGAGGCGGAAGAGGGGATAGCGGCGCCGTCGGCCGACCGACGCCGCCGAAGTGCAGTGGGGGCTGGACGGCGCTATTTAGCAGGGGAGGAGGGCGGTTGCTAATTTGCGCCAGGGGCGGAGGGCGTATCCGCTGGAGGCGGGAGCTGGCGGGCTTGGGATGGTGAACAGACGGCGGCGGAGGAGTGGAGGTGGAGGAGGGGAAGCGTTCGTGGGCCGGGGAGCCCGTGAGCTTCTGGACGACGTCTCGGAAGTCGTTCTTGTTGATGTTGTAAACCGGCGGCTGGTGCTGGGGCTGTGCTTGCAGGTTCTGCGGCTGGGCCTGGGTCTGGGTCTGGGTCTGGGTCTGGGTCTGGGTCTGGGGATTGTTGAAACTCTGATTCTGGTGACCGTTGAGAGAGGAATGATCTTGATCAAACAGTGGAGGTTTCTTGATGATGGGTTTGGAGATCTTGTGGGAGAGCTTGTTGAGGTGCTTCAGGTACTGATCTCTGCTTCCAGTGGTGCTGCTTCTGCCACTACTGCTCGTCGTGGTGGTTATGGAAGAATCCCCTGAAGATTGACAGCTTTTATCCATATTATTATTCATTTCCTTATGGACGACACAGAAACAGAAAAACACGCTCTTTCTCTCTCTAGATCTATAATATAGCTGCTATATTCTCTCTCTCTTTCTTTCTCTCTTTCTCTCTCTGTATGCGCGGTGGGGATAATCTCCTTCCTGTGGTAGTCGGCGAGTAGGGACACGAAGAGACTATATAAGAAAATTTATTAATTTTTCTCTGGTTAAAGATATGGTTAACGCTGTTTTTGTAAAAGAAAATGAGAAATGGGTCTACCAAAATAAAAAAATAAAAAAAGAAAGAGGGTTAGGGGAAAAAAAAAAAAAGAAAAGAAAAAGAAAAAGGTGGAAAAGAACGAATATGTCTCTGTCTCTTTGGTCTTTCTTTTTTCGCTTAAAAGAAGAGAAGGGACATGACCCGTAAAAGAAGGCAAGGCATCTCTCTCAAATCTTTATTTTTTTTTTAAAATCTCTGTATTTTTTTATACCTCATTTATTTTACTAATTTAAATTTAAAATTTAAGTTTTATTATAATAAAAAAATTCTTAAAAATAATTATATTTAATTTTTTTATTACAATAAAAAATTCTCACATAAAGACTTCGTTCATTTCATCGATTCAAGTTTTTAATTTTAATTTTGTTACAGTTAAATGCTCTCACAAAAAGTCATATTTAACTTTTTCTGTTACAGTGAAAAGCTCTCATATAAAATCACATCTCAACTCGAACTAAAAACTCGAATCCGCGAACTAAATGAGGCCAAAGTCACATCTCAATTCAAATTAAAAATTCGAATCAACGAACTAAATAGTCTCTTAGTAATATGAAGTGATATGGCAGCATTGTGTGTAAGAATTAGTTAATGTTTTTTCTTTTTTCTTAAAAAAGTTAGAGTTTATGGTTGTAATAATTTTTTGATTGGGTAGTATTATTACAATCAAAATTATGTCATGTGTGTGGGTGTGGGTCTGTCGATATTACAGATCAAAATTATTTTCGAGTTTTTACCTATTTCCCTCCCTGTTTTTAGTGCTATTTAAACTGTTTACTATTAGTTTTCGATTATTGTATATATAAACTGTGAGATTGTGTTTAGTAGGCAAATGTATATTCAATTAACCATCTATTTTGAATACAAAAATGACTTAAGTTTTATTCATTTCATGATTCAAATTATATTATTATAGTATTTTTTCTTATAAAAATTTTAATTTATATTTTTTATTATAATATTTTTCTCTCACATACATAATTCAAGTCATGACTTAACTTGAGTTGTACAAATGAACATATCCTTAAAAAATTATTATAAACGAAAAAATCCTAAAAATTGAAAACAAAACAAAAATATACAATTTCTCCTAATTTTAGAGTTTTTAGTATTTTCTTTCTTTTCAAAATATTTTGATCATTTTATTAGTTAAAATAATATATTGAGAAATGAAAAATACAATCCCATATGCATTTACAACAATTAAAAATGAAAAATATATTAAATAATTAAAAATAAAAAATATGCTTTTTGGATAATATTAAAATCCAAGGTAAAGAAAAATTTTAAAAACCACTATTAATAATTTTTTATGTTGTATTTAGAGTAAAAATTCATACCATAATTTAAATTATAATTCATAATTTTTTATAATATTTTTTTACATAAAAAAAAATTATAATTTTAAATTTATAAATTAAACGTCGGCTTAACTCCACTTTGGGTTGGGTTCACGGGCGAGCTAGTCCCAACTGAGTCGCCAATTTTCGTTACTGTTGTTGGTCAAAGTTAGAATGACGTCTATGCAGGGATTGTCTTGTATCTTTTCACTCACACCCAAAACCATAGATAGGCTTTTGGACACTACTTGGTGGGCAAGTGGGGTCTGTGTCCTACGTGTATGATTCAATCTCAATCTACTGCTGTGGGGGTTGTACGAAAGATGGCCTACAAATAATATGATAACTTTAATTTTGTGTTCCACAGGAAAAGAAATCTATGTGTATCTCTTAAGTTAGTTTCGTTCATTTTATTGATTTAAGTTTTTTAATTTTAATTTTATTATAGTTAAAAATTAATATAAAAAATTATATTTAATTTTTTTTATTATAATAAAAAACTCTCATATAAAATCACATATCAATTTAAATTAAAAACTTAAATTTGTAAACTGAACGATACTTTAAAAAATAAGAAAGATCTTATCTAGTACGCTAACATACTGAATAATTATATTTTTTATCTGTTAGATTTGTATAAAATTATAAATTACGTAAAAATTAAAAGGTATACAAATTCAACGGTTACAAAATTTAACCTATCGGTACATCAAGTATCTCAAAAAATCTCCCAAAAAGAAAAAGAAAAAAAATGTGAATTATATGAGGCCTTTTCTTTTTAGTTTTATTTTTAGAATATTTTCTAGTACACTTAATATACTAATAAATCAAAATTTTTTAACTGATAAATTTATTTATTTTAAAATTTTTACGTAATTTTATACCTATTTAATGGTTAATCTACTAATATATTTGCGTACGAGATCCCTTCATTTTTTCCCTGGAAGAGGATATGATATTTAATTTGTGTGTGTAATAGTATAGCTGACTATTCTTTCAATATATATATAGTATAGCTGACTACTCCTTATTGAAAAAAAATAAGAAGAAAAGAGAAACAGTCGGACTAGTGACCAACTGATTTTCAGGAAAAAAAAAAAAGAAAAAAAAAAAAAGGCAAGTTTGATTGGTTATATGGTCTGTCTCCATACTATTTTAAAATTGTATTCTTAGTTCTCTAATTTTAGGCAAATTTTACGGTGAAATTATAATTTTTGTTCCGCTGGTGGATCCTAACTTTTTAATCGATAGATTAAATTTGTAACATTTAAATTTGTGTAGATCTATATTAAAAATTTACAGCGCATTATATGTAACTACTTTTATTATAAATTTAATCGTTGAAAAATTAATTCATTAATAAAAAAATAAGACTCCACTAGTGAAATTTTTCTTTCGGGATTCCACCATAGAGGTTGCCTTAATTTTAATACAAGCAGTTGCTAAATCTATTAAGAAAATTGGGTAACTCTTGAGTCCAGCAGGGACTTTTTGCCATCTCCCATCCAGTACTACGATTGTATAAAGCAGGGGTCATGATCGAATGAAGGGCATCTTAATATAATTTCCCTGATATATTACACGCAACATAGCGACAAACTGAAAAATAAAAATAAAAATAAAAATAAAACTAAGAAGGAAAGATTTAAATGAACAAAACGGCTTGTAGCTTTTAAAGAATACGTATGTAATGCTTTATTCTGTGTAACTTGGTTAATAGACATAGGTAACATATAGATAATATATGTGTAGCATTCTTGTATGATAGTTGAAGAAGATTGTTTCATGTTTAACTAAAGTCTTATTTCGTTGAGTGAGAGCAGAGCAAACAAAACAGATTATGTAACTTATAGGCAATGTACTGTATCTCGTTTTGCCCTTCTGAGATGTTATAGTGTTTACTAAAAATTTTAAAAATATTCAGCAATTCTTAACACAACATCTCTATGTTATAATATTCATGTAAATAAAGTCACAATTTCTTTAAAAGGTATATTTTCTAATTTCTTAATGGAATGTAGATCAAAGTTGAAAATAGTGCATAATGTATTAGAACTTTGAATTGGTTGGATAGGAAAAATTGATTGAGTCAGAATATTAGTATTTTAGTATCCTTAAGATTACTTGTAGTTGAAGGAAGATTTATTGAGCATTAACATTGATTACGATATTTTGTATTTCAATTTCGGTCTACATGAACTGAGGAGGATGATGAGTGTTGAACAACTGGTTGATGAATGGTCTCAAAACTAAATGTCTAAATCTATGATGTTTTGTAATGTACAATCATAAAGATGTAAGTTTATATTTTATTTACTTCTTAATGTGTCGTTTTGGACAAGTTGAAATAATATTAACAAAATATGGATAATGCTTCCACGTAAAAAGTGAAAGACTTAACACAAGTGCCCTGATATAATGAATTAAGGCATTGTCACCAATTTTAAATATTTGAATGTAATATTTGATTTACACATTAACACTGTTTTTTAGAATAGTATCAATTTGTAAACCAACAATTTTATGTAGGATTCTTTTGTCTTAGATGAATGGAAAATTATATGTAGTAGTAATTAGGAACATGATTTATGTGTCCGAACTTTTAATTGGCCTTATTAAAAAAAAAATCATTTTTCTGTGTACGTTTAATATTTTGTGATGAGGTTTTAAAGTTTGACACATAAAGGATAATAGAGAAGCTACTAGGATTTGAATTTATTAATCCACTCAACCCCCAAATGCTTGAAAATGGTAAATTCTTTTTGTTCTTCTCATTTTCTTTCGCATGATCTCAGAACACATTAGGTTTTTCTCTACACTTCTAACAATGTATCATGTCAATATTATGCAATCATACTAGCTTCCTTTTCATTCTCATGTATCATGAAACCGTATTCTCATCATTCAAGTTCACATTATATTATTTTATTATACACTTTTACAAATCAATCTTTGTATTGTGTCTCTACACATACATCACATACGATCAAACTAGCAATGAAACATAGAAAATGAATTACTTTGAGAATTTAAACGTCTTAAAATGTTGCAAAACTCTAAACAATTTTTACCACGATTAGTCCGTATTTTTCTTGACAATTATCTTGTTACATTATCAAAGATTATGTATAATAGGGTCACATATATTTTACATAATGTGACACGCAATGTCACACACAAATTGACAATAATTAGGTTTAATAATTTTTACCACGAGAATCACTTATGTCACACATAATGTCACATAGGGTCACATATAATCAGTCTGAAAGTACACACTGATAGCCAAGAGTTACCATGTCGTTTTGGCAAGTTAAAAAAGCCACTGTTCATTTTGTAGACGCTATAGAATTAGCCTTGTACCCTTTGTATCAATTAAATAAACGTTGTTCCTCAATCTAAGTCCTAGATCTCCTGCAAAAAGCAAAACACTAGCGTATCAATAGCAAACGGCTGTGGCATTCTTTATGCATTCAAGTGACATCACACGTGAGTGCCGTTTGTAGTCCGGTTGTTGGATTAGAGATCTTTTTTTTTTTTTTCCCCCCTCTGACAAAGATAACTAAAAGAATACTTTTTTTTTTTTTTTTTTTTTTTCGTAAATAGAAAAGTAAAACAAGACTTCTCCAAATCTTAAAA